AAGAGAAGACATACACAACTAAGTACTAGGGAAGTTTCTTGTTGAAAGCGAGATAATAAGGAAACAAAGAGAATTTAAGAAGGGGATTGTTGAGAAAGTGAGATTTTCACGTCTAAATATTGAGGCAATCAACACACTACTAAAAGGTTTACAATTAGAGAAATTTTGTTGTATTATTGAGATATTTTTAATATAATATCCAAATCACATCAGAGAAATTTTAGAAAGAAAAACAAAAGAAAAAAACAAAAACGGAAAAAAGACACCTCAAAAAGTTTCAATGACAAACCTTAATCTTATGTTGATATGTCAATTGAGATTTGGTGAAATCTCAACATAAAATGCATAGATTTTTTTGCTGAGATGTTACCTTGCTATACTATACTGACCAGGAAAAATTAGAAATACTCGAGGAATGGGATCTAAACTTCAAAGTTTGAAAATGATGTATATTCATGGCATCTTGGCATAAATATCCGTGTCCACATTCATGTGCATTTGGCACTCTTTGTTGTCATGAACGCGTTTCTAATTAAAGACTTAGAGCATGTTTGGATTAGTTTGTCAGAATTTTCTTTTACTGTTTATAAGTAATAAGTTTAAATTTTTATTAAAAAAAATTTTAAAATTACTTTTAGAAATGAAAAGAAATGAGTAAAAGACTTTATAAAAAATATAAATTTAAAATTTATTAAAATTTATTATTTAAGATTTTTTTAATATTAAAAAAATAAAAAAATAAAAAATTTTAAAAAAAATTTAAACTTATAAAATATAAATAATATCAAAAAAATTAAAACTCTTATAAACTAACCCAAATATGCATTTGGTTTAGAGAATCAGATATTGGAAGCTGAAGGTGCCGAGGAAGAAATTTAGCGGTCTTAGTTGGAAAAAAGGAGAAACAAAGGCCCACGTTTAGTATCTGGATTTTTACATTTCCAGCAAGCGTCGAAAACGTGTCAGTTTTTCATTTCAAAATAATGTTCGCTAAGTCAAAAAGGTTTTTCTGTTTTCAATCCTTTTCAATTCTGCTTTTCGCAAAGCAAATTGGCTTTGGAATTTGACTACTCTAATTGCCCTTTTTCCTTTGGGCCCGTATGTATCTATCACTACTTTAACCTGAGATTTCTATAGTTTTACGTAATCAAATAGACCTGATGGTGTCTTGTGCCATAACGCGGAAGATTGACATGGGAAGGGATAAGGGGTAAAAAAATTGTCTCAAAATTATATTTTTTTTAGATATTTAATAATTAAAATTGAATATCTTAACATTTAAAATATAAATTTTTTTTTTCTTTATTAAACTTTTAGTTACAACTTTTACTTATAATTTTACATATTAAATTATCAATTAATAATGAATTCTTTTTACTTCATTGAATTTATGATATTAAATACATCATTAATTCCACGAATACATCTTTTCATTAAATGGTCCATAAAGTCGAAAGAAAAAAATGTACCCAATTTTGTCGTAGTAGTTATCATTTTCTAAAGAAAATAA